TTTACCCAACCATTTAGAGAACTTTTAGTGGACAGTGGAAAGCCAATTAAAGAGTTGTGTATTTCTATCAAATACTTAGATCACTGTTGAAAAGCAAAAACATTCAGAACTCAGCATTTCAGATGATTAGTGGTGGAAGAACAAATTTCAGGAATTAAACCGCCACAATTTGCAAACTGCTTGTTTTGACTCTGAGCCAAACCCTGTGTGTTAGGTGAGTATCAATACACCTTTATTCATAAGCTTATGTCTCAAATGATTGGATTCTGTCAGTAACCAAAATTACAAAAAGTCTTGCATAAATGTGATTTATATGCAAGCACCACAATGTACTAGTTTCATTATTGTTATGCCACAGAAAAACGAATATGTTGTCTTCCCTTACATTCATCACTATTAAGAAAGTTTTGTTGAGCAACCCATAATAATCTAAGATCAAGAAACTGAAGAGAAGTTTTCAAAAAAGTAGTCAGAGCTCCCTAAGGAAGTGACAATTAAGCAAAGACCTGAAGGAGGACTCAGAGTTGATTAGATGAAGAGAAGCAAGGTTAAGGAGAAGAGTTGTTTTTAAGGCAAAGGGGAGGGCTCATTTCAAGGCCCTGTGGCAAGGAGAGAGCCAGGTTCGCTGCTCCTGGGATGTCAGGAAGCTTAAATGAGATCATTCCAGGAAGGCACTGGCACTCTACCTAATGTGCCTGGCCCTCTGTCTGCACTCAGAAAGTGTTTCTTATGATTAGCTCACATTTTGAGGCAACTGAGGGCTGATATGTGTCTGCATAGGTGTACCTTGAAAGCAGTGTGTGACCTTGCAGCTTCCACAGTAGGAATGTGTTTCTTTGTAGTGTCTGTGATTCTTCAGTGACTCATCAACTCCCTAATGTCATTCCTCTCCAAGGAACTCATTCCTCCCTCCATATCTGGTAACTCCATACCGGGGCTTTACCAAGTGCCCTCTGTTCTTATCCAGCCTGCAGAGTCGTCAAGCTGCACTTGACTATCCACACGTGTCTATCTCTATCCTGGTACCTGTAAGAAGATTCCACAGGACGTGCAAATGGCACCGATGAAATTACTTCCGAAACTGGTTGTAACCCACTCAGGCACCCCAGCCAGGCTTTGTGGGTCTTTAGAAGTATTTAGGCATGGTCCTTCCTCTTTGACCTTCTTTTAGTCTGGCACTCGCTTGATGAGAGGCTGGCTCCTCACTGTCTGACAGCCTGCCAAAGGGCAGGCTGGCTTTACTACTTCCTCCACATCCACTTCCCACCATTATTCTTCCCTTGACAAGCCTACTGCCTTGAAAGCAAAACCCAGGGAACCCTCAGGTCTACACATTGAGATTCTCAAGGGCAGTCAGGTTTATCTGTCCCGGGCTGGCCCCTGATCTTCATTTGCATCAGTTCATCGGCTCCAAGCTGGGTCCTGAGTCAGCAGAGGTTACTGGCTTGCCTTTGTACACATGAGTTTTGAAAGCAGCCACCCGTAGATAGCAGAGCTTGAATTACTATGATGCTTGAGGATGATCTTCTGTGGAAATACCCAGAGGAACAGAAGCCTGGTTTGATGCCAATTTCACAGGCTCTTTCACTTCCTCAAGGGTGTGCATTAAGCAGATTAACAATTTTTTGCATAAAACTTCTTCCCTCCTATTGCTAGCCCAGAAGGCCTGAACTAACCGTTGTATATAAATACCCAGCTTTGTTTAATGTGTGTTAGAACTGGGGACATGTATTATACCCCAAATGTCCATCTTATAAATTCTCTGAGCATAAAATCATGTTAACAAATTTGATCAACAACAGTGTTGGCATGGTCTTGTAGCTGATAAATTAGCAAAGTCCCTTGCTCACATCATTCCACCACCCCCACACAGAGGCAGCAGGATTCCCAGCCTCCGGGGCCTCTGCTTTGCCTGTAGTCTTCTCTTCTTCCTGCCACTGGGCATCTGAGGACATGCCAGTCTCATGGTACATGCAGCTAGTTCCCTTAGTTGTGTGCCAGGCATGCTCTCCAAACCTGGGGACTCTTATTAGAAATCCTTCTAGTCAATTTGGGAGGAGAATCCTAATTTCTTCTTCTTGCCATTGTCATTTTCTTTCCTCTCTGTCTGCTTTTCCCTGTTTCCCCAGTGAGTCCTGGCAGATCCTCTCACATCCTTCTCAGAACTCCCAAAAAGAATATCATCATGCTAACTTTTCTCTCTTCCCTTTCTGTAAGGGATAAAAATTCAGAATATGTCCTCCAGCAGCGTAGCCTAACCATATATTTGTAGTTTGGACTTTTGGCTCCACATCTGTAGATTTTCACCATGTATCTCCAACAGTTTATCTCGAACAGTCTTTGTTTTCCTAAACTAAGGTAGAAGTGCCCCTCTCTAAGAAGGTTATAAATAATCAAAACACACACAGTTGCCTCTGTCATGCTATGTTTGTGAACTTAGCAGAGAAGCTTATAAACACAGGGAGCACAAAGCCTATTGACTCAACCCGGTATTTCATACAATTACTGAACATATGCTGGCTGATACATAGAGAATCTCTGGAAACGCAAGAACTCGTAACATTGGAGACCTTTAGGGAGGAGAACTGAGTTAGTTGGGGCAGAGATGGGAAAAAAGAGTTCCTTCTCACTGTACACCTTTCTGTATCGTGCATTTCCTATATTTAAAACACATTGTGTCAGTTTGCTGATGTACCCCAGAACTTAACATATAATAAAAAAAAAAACACATTGACATCATACCTATGTAATGTCAATAAATAGATAATGGACAGGCATCCTGATATGTTGGTTACACCAAAGTGATCATATCCAGTGACCATACGCCATGTGTGTCATGGGGCTTGCTGATGCTGTCTGCAGTCGAGAGACTAGGCTTAGAGCCCAGTTCTGGAGAACTTGCCATGCACTGTGCAATTAGTCCTTTCCACTAGAATTTCCTTTTTGGGAAGCGATGAGCTCCTGAGCACACAGTCCTTTACTCTTCAAGTATTTAAGCTGCATCATCTAGCTGAGGAGCCCCCAAACCACTCTAGATGTATCCCAGAAGTTTGACAAATTTTGCAAAATTAAGAGGAAATATATTTTCAACACACTTTAAATTGCAAAAGTGCATCTGATGGAGAAGGAAAAGTCCATGTGATGGAACAATCTGAGAGTAATAAAGATGGTAACAACAGTGTATTGAAGTACATTAAATATGAGTTTATAATTGATGTGTATAATTAAACACAAACCAGCAAAAAAAAAAAACTTCTAGATTACATTTGAAGGATGCTAAGGAACCAACTATCATTTTGAAAACAAATAAAAGGGGAGAATCAAGCATTCATCCTACCTTACTTATACAAACTGTACTTCATGATAACCAAATAGTTGACAAAGTTTCTCTTTATGGAAGAATTCCAGGAAATAAATGAAGAAGGAGTGATGGAATATGAATGTCTCCATTTTGCAAACCCTATAAATCTAGGGAATAATCGTCAGTGGCTAATAAGATCATAAAAAAGAGAGTGTCTTTTGTATTTCCTATATATTTGCTATTTTAGATGTAGAAATTTGATTAAACTCAGTCTGATTTTTTTTTCAGGTGGAGTAGTCCATATCATATACTTCTATCAGCACACATAATGACACAATACACTTAGCAAGTGTTCCTCCTAAGAAAATAAAACCTGAATCTAATTAAATTTCTACATCTAATAACAAATTTATAGAAAATACAAAAGAACAAAAAAAAAGAAAATACAAAAGAACAAGCTAAATAACACCATGGAGATATAATCAGCAAAATTCAGACCTTGCGCAACTCTTGAGGGCAAACAACCTAATTTCTTCAACAAATAAATTGCAAAGGGGATGAGAAAACAGATGAGAGGGAACCTCTGGATTAAAACAGATTTAAGAGTCAGTCAACCAATTGGAATGAAGCAGGGTTTGTTTAGATCCTAGTTTTAATACACTTTAAAAAAAAAAAAGATTTATGGGAAAGTTGGGGAAATTTGAATCCTAAGTAGATATCTGATAACATTAAATTATTGTGAATGTTTTATAGATTAATAGTAAACTATTGTGGTCCTCAAATGTCCTTATATTTTAAAGATATATATTTAAATATTTATGGCTAAACTAAAAATATAAAGAGAATCTGACATCTGTGCTCACCCCCCCTGGGGATTTTTCCCAGGCTCCTCACCCTGCAAAGCTCCCTGCCTTTTTGATGAAACCTCTCTTCACTCCTTCCTACATAAAACTATAAAAGGACATATAAGAAATTTGTTATGATGCATTACTTCTGGGAGGGGAACTAGAGAACTGGGGGTTGGGATGGGATAGGAGAGAAACAAACTTTGGGGCAGATCATTGTTTGCTGTATGCATGTAATACTTCTTCAAAGGACTAACCAGAAAATAAATGAAATATGAGAAGTTCATTTGAACCTTGAAATGCTTATTCAAGAGATTGAGAAACGCAGAGACTCATGTTGTTGAGCATGTGGATGGATTGACCCAGACCATATTTCTCAAAGTATGGTCCCAGGACCATCTGCAGCAGAATTGGGCCCATCTCCATCCCTCCCAGCCAGAATCTCACAGGGTTGAGCACAGAGACAATGGGAACTACAGTTCTTGATGACCTAAGTGCCAGCTTTTCAAATACTTATTATATTGTTTTGGAACTTTGGAATGGATAGGACAAAAATATTCCCAAATTTAAATTCAAAGCAGCACAATTCTGAAAGTCTAAGAGACTTTTTTTTTAGGTTTGTTGACAATGATTTAATCAGCAGATGTCACTATGTAATCGTTGGGAATATCCCTTCCACATCGCCTCATTTTTTGGAGAGGCAGAGTATACTGCCGGCATTGTAGCACAGAAATATTATGGTAATTTTGTACTTTGTTTAATGAAAATAATTTTTCTTTGCTTTCATTGCTTATTAAGAGTTTATCTTTGATTAAGCATTCTTTGCTTTTGTTTTTGTTTTTGTTTTTCCCCAGCATCATTGACAAAGAAGTTTCATTAATGGCAGAAATGGATAAAGTTAAAGAAGAAGCCAGTAAGTAGACGACACATGGTTATTTGATTAGGAGCTTCCCAATCAGAAGGAATCCATAGGTCAGACTGACAATGATACTAGATTCTGAGCTGGGTCCTAAATTTATACTGAAATTTTGGCTCATGAACTCTGTAACCTTAGGAATGTCACTTAGCCCCTGGAATCTCATTTACATCATCTGGCAAAAGGATATAGCTGTAACACTCACCTCATACAGGTGACTGCATGCAAGATGGACACTCAATACATAATAGGTGTCAGTTGAGTTTTTGGAAGTCCAAGGGGACATTTGTGCACATAAAGACCTTATAGTTAATTGGATTTTAAATGACATTGAATTTAGTATTACATTTTAAGACAATTTTAAGTCTTTACAACTTATAAATCTTGCTATATTATTTACATCATCATTTTTACTAATTCTTTCTTAGGTTCAATTAAGTTTATCATATTAAATTTTTCTAGAAAAGTAGTTCCATTTGAAACTTAATTACTTAAATTCCCCTCAACATTTTAAATTACATATATAAATTTAATATATCTCATTTGTCTTAAGCACTTCAGATGTTGGACAAGGCAAACTCACAAACCTAACAAGCAACGTGTTCCTAAGCTTTTAAGTAACTCTTGTAAGATTAATAATTCAAAATTAAAGGTATACTAAACAGAGTTTTCTTAAAATACTCCAGTTCTCTTCATGAACTTTGTCAAATATACTGACACCTGCCAACTTAAAACCACAAAAGGAAATCAATTCCATATTTTAAATTGAAAATCACAAATCAGATTGCTTAATGTACCAGATTATCTATTTAAATAATGAACACACTCAGATTATCTTGATCATTGCAAACCTTAATCCTAAATTTAACATAAAATATTGACATTCTTGGTTTGACTTGTTTTATTTTCTTTATGCTGATTTATAAACCTTTAAACTGTGGTAAAGTTACTTGAGTAGTAGAGAAGATTTACCACATTAGATAGACTGAGGCTTATGAGTTGGAAATTTCAACAAAGACAAGATTACTCAGTCAGATTCACATCAAGCCGCAAGTGAATGTGCTAGGCTGTCTCGTATTACTGAATTTAGTTTTCTGTGTTAATGGAGCCCCTAAGACTATATTTTTCAGCTCAATTATTGTTTCCTGGGCATTTAAAATTCCTCATCTTTACCCACAGATGAATTGGATAAATGGCGGTCTGTGCCCCAACCAGATTTCAGTGAATCCTTACCTTTGACTGTGATGTCTTTCTTTTTGCCAGAATGAAAGATTAGACCAGATTCTTCATTCTTTTTTATTGTTCTTGTCTGGATCTAGGCCATAATTCAAGTGTCGTTTTATGGAAAATAGCTATCATTATTTTTGTTACACAGTTTTCTCAATTATTTTGTTATTTATTTCAGACCTTGTTTAGTCAGGCATCTAAATAATCTTAAGCAACATTTTGGAACCCTGAAATAGAGCAAACTTCATTAAATGAAACTAATGTGATCCAGGGTAAAGCTACGGAATATTTAGATAGTTAATCTTTTTGATTGTGAAATTATTTTATTCTTATGAAATTTGTTGAAATCTTCATTAAAAGTAGATTATACACACAACTTGGGATTTTTCCTACTTTTCAGTTATAGCTTTTTTAGTTTTATATCCTAATGATAAAAATGCTGACAACAACACAGACATAAATGAGCCTCTTGAACCAAAATAGAAAGTCACTAGCACATCATCACTTTCTTAGAGGTTAACTAAAGACCTTGGGTTTCATGTACTCATTCTTCCTTCTTGGGACATGATAATGTTTGATGCCAAGACCTGTGGACTTTGGAGCATCTCTGGAGAGCATCCTGTTTTAAAAACTTAATCAATAAATACGCGGGCTTCCTTGTGTCCAGGATAAACAGCAAACAGATAGATGTAAAGCCTGCACTCATCAAGCTTTCAGGCTAGCTGAAACTGCTAGATTGGTTGACAAGGTTCACCTAACTTCAGGAATTGGTGCTGCAGGTTTTTGGACTAACCTCAGCCCTGGGGAAGCCCATTTGCATGCCTTTGAGGCAGGCGGAACTGAGTTCAAGTTCAAGTCCGACCTCTATCTCTAATTGGCTGTGTGTCCTTGAACCATGTTGTTGACTTCTCAAAGTCTGAGATTTCTGGCAATGGCTCACATGTATAATCCCAGACCATTTGGAAGGCCAAGGCAGGAGGATTGCTTGAGGCCAAGAGTTAGAGACCAGCCTGGGCAATATAGTGAGACCCCCACATGTCTAAAAAAATAAAAATAAAAAATAAATTAGCCACATGTGGCGGCATGTGCCCATAGTTCTAGCTATTCTAGAGGCTGAGAGGAGAGAATCACTTGAGCCCAGGAGTTTGAGGCTGCAGCAAGCTATGATCATGCCACTGCACTCCAGCCTGGGTAATAGAGACCCTGTACTAAAAATAACAACAACAACAATAATATCCATCTCAAGTTGTTATTGTAAAGATAAAGTGAAAAAATACATGCACTTGGCACAGAGCCTGATACAATATATGTGCAAAAAGGGAAGAGCTCTTATTAGCAAATTACCCTGACCCCTTCATATTACAGTCAAAAAATGGAGGTCAGGGTTTCTATTGCATCTCTCAAATAACAAGCCTATATCAACACTATGTCTTCTCCACAGATAGAGGGAACCATGGATTTCTCCTCACTAACTACAGAACTGTCTTTCCAACCACCCTCTTTAACTTGGTTCTCTGTGGTCTCAAGAGAATTTTTGACACTTTACATTTCCTATAGACGTTATAAACCGTATTTCCTCAATTATAACAGAATCTCCTAAATCCCTCATGGCACCTAACAAACACAGTGCTGAGAAGACTGTAGGTACTTCATAAATATTTGTTAAATGAGTTATTGTAAATAAATCAGTATCCATACACTGTGGGAACTAATATTAATGAACACTCATGTCATTGCAAAAAAAGAGGAGGTATATTCTAGATGACTAGATCTTACTTTGTTAATAATATTTCGAGTTAGCATTTTGAGTATACTCTACTAAACACCTCACATATATTATTCCATTTATTTCCACAATAACCCTGCAAGATGTGATCAATTCCTGCACAGATTTGACAAAAGAAGAAACTAAGCATGTTGTAGTGCCCGGGTCTCAAACTTCATGTTTATACTCAGGTATTCACAGGTGTCAAGTTCACTAGAGGTAAGGGAAGAAAACATTACTTTGTAAATTAGTAGTAATACAAACAAATTATGAAGTAGAATACAAAATTCATAAGAATTTTTAAAGAATAAAAAGGATTTCAAAGAATCTTTGTGCTTAAGGAGCCATTTCTCTGGCTCCTGATGCCAACCTTGATTTTGAGTATATTTTCTGCTGAGGGTTATTGTTTGAGAAGCCTTAAGATTTTCTGTGGTTCAGATAATAAAAGCAAGCTTCCAATGTGTTTCAAAAACTTGAAGGAATTTATAAATCCTATTGAGAAAGTGGATTTCAGCATACCAGATACTGTTTATACATACATAATATTAATTAATCTTGAATGCAGTGAAAACCTAAGCTGTATGGAACTGTCTCCCTGTACAGATTTCTGAAAGGATAGTGCTTTCAAAACATACTTATTGTTCTGTTTTAAATTACAGGATCAATGAAGCTTAAGATCTGATCTGTTTTTGTTTTTTGCTTATGTGATTGATGTTTTTGAGGTGAAAACGTCCCCCAACCCCCACCAAAGAATATTGGCTTTAGATCTCAAGTTTTAAGGCATTTTTCATAACGAAAGGCTTTGAAATGTTAATGAGACTATATGTAAAACTCATTCCAACTCTTGCTGATGCAAAGTATTTATTTCTGTGCATATTTGCATGAGTGTAAACTCAGAATTTATTGGTGATCTTGCACCTGCATTCCTATTTTAGGGCCCATTTATATCTATTTCTACGAAATCTTTTGTTTGGTATGAATGCCCAAGTTCTACTTAATCAAAAACAACAACGACCCCTAATTGTCACCAGTCTTACAAATGATCCATGAAGAAAAGATCTGTTGGACTATGTCGTTACTGAGGGTCTGCTGACCCCTTTACTAGCTGCTTTTCAAGTCTGGGCCTTTAGATTTTTATTATTATTATTATTTTGATGAGTAGGGGTCTTGCTTTGTTGCCCAGGCAGGTCTCGAACTCCTGAGTCAAGCAGTCCTCCTGCCCCAGCCTCCCAAAGTGCTAAGATAACAGATGTGAGCCACTGCACCCAGCATAGAATTAATTTTTCATTTTAGTTTGCAAGAAGAATATATCTCATTTCATCTTCCTATTTGAATTGTTTTCTCATGCTGCAGATGTTAGTCCTATCCATATGTTGAATTACAATGGCAAACAAATAACATAACTAATCAAAGGTATGAATCCTAAACAGTCTTAAGTGACTGCTGTAGAAAAGGAACTATCCTTCTTTAGATATTCCCTTTAAGTAACTCATTAATTCATTCATCGAATTCTTCACTCAACAAGCATATTACACACCTCTTGTATACCAAGTAGGCACTAGGTGCCATGGACACAAAGAACTACATGGTACAGTTCACACCGTAGTCTCGAGAATGATTAGAGGTGCTCACAGGGAACAGATAGGTAACATTAATGTGCCAAAAGGTGCAGGGGGAAACTGTGGCACACTGGGTGCCCGACTCCATCTAAAAAGGTCAGTGACTTCTTGGCTCAAGCCACTTGTTGCCATGTAGGAATGTTAACCAACTGTGGCCAGAAATTCCAGTACTTTAAGAGATGCCAGAGAGCCAGCTTTCTTTTAAATGTGGGCAGTTAATTTCTAAAAGCAATGTGTGGACCAAACAAGACATATGTACTCTGGCTGAAAATGATGGTGAGCCACCCTTATTGTGACCTTTGGTCCAACTGGGTGTCCTGAGACATCACTCAGCAATATGTTGTCTGCATTGAGATGAAAATTCCTTTCACTCTCATCATCCAGACAAGTTTTTCAGTAGCTCCTCTGTATTCAGAAAGACTATTAGGCACAGATCCGTCTGCCCGGCCACATGGTATTGTAAATGGAGATCAGGAGGAGCCCCAGTTAAATAATCAAAGCATGATTAGCATAGTTTGACAGACGATAAAGCTGTATGTGTTACAGACTAATTATTTTATTCACATCTTAACATTGATATTGGCATAAAAAGATTATGTCTTTCAGTCTGTCTAAAGAATGGTTTATGATTTGCAGGGAATCTTAACTCTTGGTGGATTCTGTACTTCTTTTTGGGCTTTTGCAGTGATTATCGTTTGATATTTTGTGTAATAAGAACTCTTAAAATCAGAAATCATATTGTTTGGCCCTGCATGTGTGCTGTGAATCTGGTCTAATAAAGCAGTTGATCCTTGTTCAGCCAAGCATGGAATGTGAGTCCAACATGCATGTCATCTTAGATGAACACCTCTTTTCTTATAACTCAAAATGCTCATCCCAAAGAAATGAAGACAATTCATATATGAGTCAAATTAGAGAGCCACAAGTCTATCTATCGAAAGATCCAACTTCATATTTAAACCTCATCCCATGTGTTTGTATTAATTACTTCTGAGCTCCATAATCTTTTGGGAGACACATGTATACACACACAGACACAAATTAAGCGATAGGCTACTACATCTATTAAAACCTCTAGTTCATCTGACGATGTGTGAAAATGTTGGAGCCCGAGTACTCCCTAGTGTCTTCTCTACGCGTGCAGGTGCTAAAAAATTCACACGAATCTAGTTCTAGCTGGCCTCACTCACTCTCAAAATTTTTCCACTGGGGACACTTATAGAAAGACCTAAGACACTCTGGGGTAGAACTTCTCTTTCTTTGCAGAATGAAAACATATCTGCAGAGTATCAAAAGCAGAGAGATTTTTGGCTCACAAAAAACTAATAAAGTTAGATTTTTATGTCAGATTCCAATAACACAGCTAGTCACCCTAAATGAGTATGTATTAAAGTTCAAGAGGGCTGCTGCTGTTAAAGTTTAATAGTGCAGCACATATAAAATGATTTCTGCTCAGTAGACTTCCTGTCTTTGCAGTATCACTCAGAGAGGACTTTAATAAGTGTTGTTTTTCAGAGCTCGTTGTTGCGAGTAACTCACAAATTTCAAAAGTCTAAATTCCATAAATGAGGTCAGACACCAGTGAAGAAAATGCAGAGTGGGAGTGTACAGTGAATCAGAAGGGACTGTTTGGCTTGGGGATTGGTGGAGGAGGACAGGAGGAACCGGGTTGTTGGCAATAGGCACCGAGGGTAAACCCGCCTCCGTGACCAACTCAGAAAACACAGTCATGGTCCAACAAAGCAATCAGTCTGTGGAGCGAGAACTGATTCCAAGAAATTAGGTTATTTAATATGTTTCAGTCTCTGGCCCTAATGTGTGACTCCTCCTTATTTGGCAGTGGAAATCCTGACCACTCGTCAGAAGAAAGCGGAAGAACTAAAGAGACTTACTGACCTTGCCAGTCAGATGGCAGAGATGCAGCTGGCCGAACTCAGGGCAGAAATTAAGGTCAGTTCTAAAATATCACAGCCTGAACCCTGAGCCAGAGAGCTGATCCCCATTATGTTTGTTTTGCATCCACAGAGTGCTGCTCTCTGAGGATCTAACATCTACACCCAGCTCTCTTTCACAGGGTGGAAATAGAGAACACAGAAGGGGGAAGACCCACATAATCACTGTGTTTAAGTGCAATGTGTTTTGAAGGAATGTTTTACTCCAAAGGAGAAGTACAGGCTATTTTGTCAGTCAGTAGAGACCAACCCAAATAAAGTAACTTGGCCATGAATTATAGCTGGGATGGGGGATATTATTTTAACACACTGTGATTTATAGGTATGTATATAAACACATCCACAGGTATATACACATACATGAAGCATGAACGTAGTGTAACAGTGAGGATTAGAAAGTATGCAGTCTGGAGATTTCTTTCCTATATTATTTTCTAGTTTAGTTGCATTTTTATTAAGAATACTCCCCATAAATACGTATTTATTCAATTCCTTCATTGATATGCAACAGAAACTGGCCCTGGCTAACCTCAAGGACAAGTAGAATTTGAAAGGATGTGAGTATAGCTCACCAAAGCAGAGCCCTATCTGAAGGCTCAGGTCAACAATTAGGCGGGAACTAGGGTGGCTCGGGTAAAATAAGAAGCAATAATCACTAGACACGCTCTGATGGGACCCTCAGCCCTGTACCACCCTACTCAGCTCAGATCCCTAAGTGATAGGCTCTGATTGGCCTCCACTTGGGTCACGTCCATCATTTGGCCCAGAGAGGGTATGACATCTTGATCGCCAGACCCACTGAGACTATGGCTCTTTGAAACTGCGTCAGGGTACAGTTACCAGAAGGGGAAATTGTTACCAGGAAGGCAAGTATAAGTATTTACAACAAAATAGGAAGAAATTTTTAAATTCCCCTTATCCTTTTTTTTACCCGGTATACTACACATACACACACACACACACACACACACACACACACACACACACACACGCCGTTAAGCTTCTTACCCACTTTCAGGAAACTAGAGTGGTTGTAAGACACAGCTGCTGCTAGCTTTAGAAGTAAGATTGCAAATTGGGGCATAAAACTGGTTGGCAATGATAGACACTGGCAAGTGACCCCCCTCCTAGTTGGGTACGAAAGCAGGCCCTATGGGGAAGAGGACCTCTCCCAAGGGTGCTGAAGGTGTCAGTGGCCTTTCTATTCTTATATTCTGTGGTCTGGCCTCTGTGGCCTCCCACCCAGCCAATTTCATTGGCCTCTTCACTAGTCTCTCTGCCTACACTGTCTCCCTCTAGCCTCATACTCCACGAAGACCAGATTTAAATTCCCAAAGCAGATCTGTTTTCCCCCATTATATCTCCTTCCCCTCAGAAAAAAATTCCCAACTGGACTCCAATATATATTCCAACTTCCATCTCCCCCTACAAAAATCCCAGCTTGCTAGAACATCAAGTAAGATACATAAAATTGCCAGCTTCCTGGTCTATTGAAATCAACTCATCTCCCAAGTTTCATTTCTGCCTGTCAAAATCCCACCCATCATAAAATGGTTAGTAGCACAGGCATTAGAGTGAAACAGTCCAGGTGCAAATTTTCTACTTCTATGACTTTGGATAAATTACGTGTTCTCTTAGATTCTTAGAACCCCAATTCCCCCATCTGTAAAACAGAGGTCATAATAGTACTGCCTTCATAATACTGTGATCAGATGAAATGAGATGATCTGATAAGAATTTGGCCAGTGCCTGGTAAGTGTTCAATAATTTTTTTAATGTTCCCTCTTACATAATCTTTCCCCATTGCCCTCAGTAGGAAATCATTTCTTCCTCTTTTATATTCCTGAAGCACCAATCACATTCCACGTTGTATTGTAATTAATGGTATCTGTTTTCCTTGTCATTGCTAAACTCCCTGGTAAACTCAAGAAGGGACTGAGTCACAATTATTTCTGTATTTCTCACCCTGTCTTCTACATGTAGATCTTAATTTTAAATGAATTGAAAAATAATCTCTTTCTCACTTCTTTTCACAGCACTTGAAATTCTGCCATTTAAGATTATATTTTCCAGCCACTAAATGCTTTGTGGACTTCCTAGTTCCCTATTAAAATAGGATGGGGGTCTAGGAAGGACGACAAGTTTTCTCTTGATGGTCAATACCTTAGCAGGCACTCGGCCAAACTCAGAAGACCCTACCAGAATGCAATTCAGAAAATTACTAGGAGGGCGAGGGGTGCTAAAAGGTTAAATAGATGAGTCAGACACACATTCCATGTAGGCCCAGACAAGAGAAACACAGGACCCCACATATTCCCCAGGCAGGAAGATGGTCATGCCCCAGCCAGGTCAGGACCAAGACTGAGCATAGAGCCTCCCAGCAATGGGGTTGGAAAGATCCCCACCAGGTCAGCCCCGCAGTGCGTGCAGGAAGAGCACAGTGAAAACATCCACAGGGTGCCTCGGTCATTTCTGTAATCGTGGGGCTTCTGCTTTCCATCTCTTTCCTCCAGCACTTTGTCAGCGAGCGTAAATATGATGAAGAGCTCGGGAAAGCTGCCCGGTTCTCCTGTGACATCGAACAGCTGAAGGCCCAAATCATGCTCTGTGGAGAAAGTGAGTTTTGCATACTTGTTAAATAATTCTGTGTGAGTAAGCTTGGTGCTATTTGGAGTTGCTATAGGAAATGTCAGGTGTGCAGTCCCCCAGGGGGCTAAAGTGAGGTCTAAAGAGATTTAATGATCTAAGCTCATGACACAAGTCACCAGAAATGTCAAGATTTGAACTTAGAGTCTTCAAATGCCACTGCCCATCGGTAAATCCCCAGGATTTATTAAGTGGAACAGAACAGGTCAACTAGTTTATACCTTTTGCAAACTTTTCTTAAGCACTGCCAGTTAAGCTGCCTCTCTGGTTTCAAATAGCCCTGGTTCTACAGAAACTTGTCAGGCAGAGAGTGAGTCTTCCTAATGTGTCCCAACATGTCTGGAAACAATCAGTTATTATTGTGCAGGGCCCAGCTGTTCTGTGAGCCCCTCAGCAATGCCCTGAGCCTCTGCCCTTGGTTCTCTGTGCTGAGTGAGGGCTACAGATAATGAAAGACTCCACTCAGCCATTAGGTTAGCCTCGTTCCCTATTAAGCCTTAATTAGAGCAGCTAATGTGCAACAAAATTGGCTGCTATATTTTCCCCCTACACCAGCCCACCCACAAGGGTAGGTGGGAATGAGCACTGAAGTGGCTTTAAGGACAGCCACAAGGAGGAAAGAAGGACTAGTGAGTGATGCAGAAACCCACAGCCTTGCAGTCAGCTGAAAAATCAAGATTTGGCTGCACTTCCTATTACGGTATAATTAACTATACTATGCTACACTGCATATATGTATAGTACTACAATTTACTTTTATCACTTCACAATCTATGGTAGATATTTTTTCACATCAATATATTTAACCAGTCATTTCTGTAAAGATAATTGATGTCACCAGTCTTCAGGTTGCTGCATTTAGACTACTTCTAGTTTTTCACCATTAAAATAACACTGCTGATCACCTGAGGTCAGGAGTTCAAGGCTAGCCTGGCCAACATGGTGAAACCCCGTCACTACTAAAACTACAAAAATTAGCCAGGCATGGTGGTGTGCGCCTGTAATCTCAGCTACTCGGGAGGCTGAGGCACGAGAATTGCTTGAACCCAGGAGGCAGAGGTTGCAGTGAGCCAAGATCGTGCCACTGCACACCAGCCTGGGCAACAGAGTGAGACTCCATCTCAAAAAACAAACAAATAAATAAGATAAATAAATAACACTGCTGTGAGCATCCTTGTCCACACATCTTTGGCAATTATTTGATTTTCTGACTGAATTTTTAAAAATTATTTTCACTTTTTCCCTCGTACTCTTTCTTATGAAAGAATCTACTTATTTGCCATTCTCTATCCAGAGCTTTTGCCCCATCTCTAGAAAAGGGAACAGTCCAGTTCACAGTTGTAAAGGGAACTGCCCACCCTTCTTTCCACGTCAGCCCTCAATGAGCAAGACAGTGATGCTGAGTGACGCCCTGTCACCCATCTCAGGTGTGGTGGGGAGACACCCCTTCACCTCCTTTCCTCCTCAGCACTTCAAGTGCCATCTAGTGGGAGAAATGGTCCCTTACGAAATTCCAGGTGTCCGTTCTGAAAAGACAGAGACCATAATTGTCCAAAGGCTCTTCCTTCTCAGCTTTGTTGAGAGCACATTGAGAACGTGCAGGTACTGGTAGTGAACCGGAAATAGTGGTCCCTGATCTGCAGACAGTAATGACCTTGTAAAACTGAATCTGGTGAGCACAGGAGCCACAGAATTCCCCTGGTAACATTTGGACAGGCCCAGCTTGCTGTCACACCTTCCCAATACAATGAAGACACTAGGAATGCATCCCTGGCCTTTCCATTTCTCCTGTATTGTGATCCTTACTGGTCCCACCTAATCCTCTAGCAGAACCCTGGGATTAAACCTGATCCATCAAAGGGAGCAGACAAAATTGCTTTCAAAAATTGGTGACAGTTTTAAGAATCAAAGAAAGCTCTAGCTGGCAGTCAGATTCTGGTAAACTGTGAAAGAGAAGTCATGGTTTTATCCTTGAATTGATTCCCTCCAGTTCCAATTCAGTGTAATCACATAGAAATCATCCCAGCAGAAACCATCACTTTCCAAAGCAGCAGGAATGTTCATATTTAATGCTGAGCAGACCTACCTGAGCCTTGAGCCCTGAGCCCTGATGGGGGTCTGCCTGATCAGCTTGCCTTGCCTGTGACCTTGGAATTGGTGCACATCTGCAGTGAGGCTGCAGAAAACAGAGCTGATTAAAGGTGGGATAATGGAGTGATAATGAAATATACAAAATGCCTTAGGGGCTGGCAGGCCTGGCCCTGTGTTTGGGGGATATGCATGACCCAGAGTAGCAGAATTCCTAACATCCAGTATCACCCCATTCCCAAACTCTAAGAACATCGTGGCTCTGACAGGCCAGAGTATCCACATAGCTCCCAATCTTTCTGTGTCTGCAGTACCAATTGGTCCAGGGAACTGATCAGGGAGGTGAGAATGGGTTTGGTAATGGGGAATCTCGAGGCAGAGTGCATTTACAGACAGGGTCAGAGAGGGAATCTTGAGGTATCATTATCTCTTTTCCCTTGGTGATTCTTGACCTAAAGAATAATATTTAAGTTGCTCAGATATGTCTTATTTCTTACAAATGTCTCACAACTTGGATGATTATGCTGTAATCACAGTTCAGTGATTCCCAGAGGAGAAATTTGGTTGTTCTCTTAAGTACCAAGGTGCCCTTTCAAATAACATCTTTCAAAAGAAAACTTTGTAGAGCTCCTGGCCAGTTTCTTCATCTTCTAGTGCTTCCTAATGGGTTACTGAGGCAGCAGTGTTGAAGGTGCAGCTTGTAACACTGAGCACTTTGTTGCAGTTACACATCCAAAGAACAACTATTCCTCAAGAACTCCCTGCAGCTCCCTGCTGCCTCTGCTGAATGTGCATGCGGCAACCTCTGGGAAACAGAATAATTTTTCCCGAAAATCGTCCACTCACAATAAGCCCTCCGAAGGCAAAGCAGCAAACCCCAAAATGGTGAGCAGTCTCCCCAGCACCATCGACCCCTCTCACCAGGCCATGGCAGCCAACAAGCAGGTAAGCAGACACCGGTGCAGGGTACCAGGGGGTGGGGGTGGGAGGGCACCCTGTTTCCAGAGGAAGAAAACAGCAACTACTAGATGCTAGGATTCCTGGGGTCACACTCAGGTTCCTTCCACCTGCCCTTACCCACTCCCCACCCAGCAGCACTGCCTAACTGGCCTCCCCTGGTCTCGCTCGTCTATGCCTCCCAGGTGCTTTCCCATGTGGAGGAAGTGGCCTGCACACACTCTTGACCCCATGAGCAGACAGTCCACCCAAGTGAAGCTCATGGCTAGGACTGCTACCATCCCTGGGGCCCCAAAACCAGCCCACATGTGGAAGGGACCCACAGAGACTCAGGAACAAGATTCAGAACCTGGCCACTGAAACTACTAATGAGAGGAAACCTGGCATTTGTTTTTTAAGATATTTTAATCTCCACTTATGTTGAGTTGATCAATAAGGCTAAAGTTAGTGCAGTCTTCTCTTGGGATTTCAGCAAGGAGAATACATTTCAAAAAACACAAGTGTCCAAAGAACAATCTTTCTTCTCCTTCTGCTTCTCCATTATGTCTTTGGGAGGTGATTTCCCCCTTATCCTTGGAGCATTAACAAAAAATTGAGATCTGCCAGGTGCAGTGGCTCACACCTCTAATCCCAGCACTTTGGCAGGTTGAAGTGGGCAGATCACTTGAAGTCAGGAGTTTGAAACCAGCCTGGCCAACATGATGAAACCTTGTCCCTATTAAAAACACAAAAATTACCCAGGCGTGGTGGCGCATACCTGTAATCCCAGCTATTGGGGAAGCTGAAGCAGGAGAATCGCTTGAACTCAGGAGGCAGAGGTTGCAGTGAGCTGAGATCACACTGCTGCACTCTAGCCTGTGCACCAGAATTAGACTCCATCCAAAAAAAATGGATCTGATGGTATAGAAGTTGGGCATGCTATAAAGACCTTTTATGATCTCCAAGAGAAAGTCTTTTTTTTTTTTTTTTTTGTAAGTCATTTAAAATGCTGCTTTTCTAACAGGTGTTTTGTTAGGTTTTGTTGTCTTGGCCTTTGAGAATTCTCGTTAATGACACTGACGTGTTTCTCAGGCCCTGAAATCTTCATGAGCTTTAAGATAGCACCTTGATAAGGAGCATGTTATAACTTCACTAAAGATCATAATCAAATCTGTTTTTAATTGTAGTCTAAATATATCTTCACAACTTTTGTTCATTTTTTTTTGGCACAATCTCGGCCCACTGCAGCCTCAACCTCCTGGGCTCAAGCAATTTGCCAGCCTCAGACGACAGAGTAGCTGGGACTACAGGCGTGTGCCACCATGCCTGACTAATTTTTTTGTATAATTTTTGTAGAGATAGGGTTTTGCCATGTTACTCTCAACCTCTTGGGCTCAAGCGATCCTCCTGCCTCAGCCTCCCAAAGTGCTAAGATTACAGGTGCAAGCCACCATGCCTGGACTCTCTGTTCATTATTAAATATCATGCTATAATTAACTCTAAAATTTAGTCTATGAGTTTTCCTTTTTCATAGTTTCTTTAAAAACAAAGGAGGCCAGATTAAGTACTATCTGTATAGATACTTTTTCAATTCTCTGTTTTAGCATTTTAGGTAATAGCTCATTTAAGTTGAAATACACTCAAATATCTAAGTCAGAACACTATAAACCCAGGTAAGAAGGGCCCTTGGGCTGGGCCCTGTGTTTTCAAGTAAGCTTTCTTGACCTTGACCCTGGCATAGCCATGGCTCTCTCTACAGAGTAAGGAGTCAGAGAGACCAGGGAGACAGGGCCACTGAAATCTACACTGTGTATTCTGAAGCATGCTGCCAGTCAGCACTCAAGATCCTGGAATTCTATTCCCAGGTGGGCCCCAGCCTGCTCACAGGGTCTGTTGGGACCACTTTCCTATATACATCATCTTGAAGACAAACCACACCTGTTGGTCTGAAGGGTGGGAGTAGAGGCGAAGCTTAGGTGTGCAAGCTGCAATGTCCACATTCATGTGTGCAAGGCCCCCTTACAATGTGGGATGGAGCCAGAGTTAGGAAGAGACAGCATTCAGACATATAGTGTATGAACCCCAAAAATCTGAGACAAGTCTCAGATAACTTAGAAAGTTTATTTTGCCAAGGTTGAGGACATGCACCCATGACACAGCCTCAGAAGGTCCTGATGACATGTGCCCAAGGTGGTGGGGCACAGCTTGGCTTTGTACATTTTAGGGAGAAATGAGACATCAGTCCATTTGTGTAAGATACACATTGGTTCAGTCTGGAAAGGTGGGACTACTGGAGGCAAAGGCGGACAACTGGAAGTGAGGAGGGTGCTTCCAGGTCTTAGGTAGATAAAAGACAGATGGTTGTATTCTTCTGAGTTTCTGATTAGCCTCTTCAAAGGAGACAATCAGATATGCATTTACCTCAGTGAGCACAGGGGTGACTTTGAATAAATGGGAGGCAGGTTTGCCCTAAGCAGTTCCCAGCTTAACTTTTCCCTTTAGCTTAGTAATTTGGGGTTGCCAAGATTTATTTTCCTTTCACAGGAGTATGGGCCCACATTTGAACTCTTGGTCTGGGCTCTGAATTATTGGGGGTTGGTCTGCCCTAAACCTATACCATCCAGTCACAGTGCACAAATTAAGAACCTTATATATTTGTAACTCATAAAATTACATGTTTTTATAAGAGGTTTGATTTTCAAAACAGGTTTGTGTTTATGTTACAACTTAAGAACCTTGTCAGGAGACAGTATATAAAGTGGGAATAGCTCCACCATTTCCCTGCTATAGGTAGACCTTGGGCAAGTCCCTGAAACTCCTTATCTTCATCTGTAAAATGAAGCACATAATAGCAAAATCTTAAAGGGTGATTCTGATGTTAAATGAGGTAGTGCATGGTGAAGAACCTCACTCAGTGCCTGGCATATGGTAAGCACTCAGTGAGTGTTGGCTATTATTGATCTCAAGGAATTCAGAAATCTTTTCCTCATACAGGAGCTTAATCCATTGCATCCCTACCCTCATCCATTTATGTCCTTGGCCACTGATTTGCTGAAGGAATGATTTTTCAGTAGAGGCTTTAACATTTCTTTGCTTATAACTGCAGAAAGTTTAGAAAAACAATTAACTACCTCTGTGAAAATACACCTTATTTCTGCATGCCACCAAAACCTGCCAGATATGCTTCACCCCTATATTTGCCCAAGATAATATTTCTGAACTATGAAGATATTTGTTTAAAAAAAAATTAGAAAAGCTACTTTAGAGAAAAAAAAGTTACAGACAGAATTTTACTTTTTCTTCACCTATGTAATTAGAATTCCTATGCATAGTCTTGAAACAGGAAAATTTCCTTGCCCCCTTTGCAGGCCTTGCAACAGGGGTGCCTCATTTACTCAGCCTGAAGCTCTCAGCCCCTCGGGAGATGGGGAGCATGCAGGTGGACAGGTGCAGGAGCTAGAGCAAGTACTTTTGGGTGCCAGCAGGATAAAAACTCCCTGCAGCCCCATAGCAGCATCTAGGGTGGTACCCGTGACCCCTGGAGCCCCAGAGGACATGTGTTACAGTACTCTTTTAGCTTTGCAGTCCAAGGATGGCTTGAGTGTTTAATAGCTCAGTAGACCTTCAGCTTTTTCATGAAGGCAGAGGGTCAGTGTGACACTTTTCTGTATCCTGAGCTCTTGTCCAGCATCCATGAAAAATCAGGTTGTATGAACCAAGTGAAGGATAGTAAATACCGGGGATTTTATTGCCAGTGGAAGTGGCTCTCAGCAGGAGGGAGAGCTGGAAAGGGGACAGAGTGGGAAAGTATTCTTCCGCTGAAATCCAGCTGTCTCTGGCTGGACTCTTCTCCAAAGTCCTGCCGTCAAGCCATCCCTCTAAAGTCAAACTGCTTCTCTCTGACATCAGACTGCAGTCTCTGACATGTGGCTCCTTCTCCTCTTCTCTGCTGTCTGCCAGTGGAACCTGGGGTTTTTATGGAAACAGGATGGGGGGTGGGTGGGCCAGTGTTGTGGTTTTGGAAAAGACAACATTTGAGCAGGAAAATAGGGCTTGAGCATGGGGCTTAGCCAGGGACCCCACCCTTTTTCTTTATAGAATTTCTGTGCTTTCCATCCCTATCAGTCTCTACAGAATGTCCCAGAAATCTCCATAATAGAGGATCATCATTACTCTGCTCCTGGCTTATATTTTATTCTGCTATAGTTTAAGCATCTTTATGGATTTTATTTGACCCAATTTTTGAATTGTCTGTCTTATGCTTCTGTAACCTCTTTCAACATCATTTTCTTGCAGTTCCATTTACAAAACAGTCCACTATTCTTTTAAGATTAAGAATTTTATCTGCTTGACCTCATCTTCATGTTTCTGATTCTTCTGGTGTATCAAAAAATCTTACCTGTGGCTTAGAGATTTGGTTTCCCTGATGTCTACTGGTGTCATCTGTGACCTACTGGCATCTGATACTTATCTCTTTTCTTTTTTGGTAGAATGGATCTTCTAACCAAAGACGGAGATTTAATCCACAGTATCATAACAACAGGCTAAATGGGCCTGCCAAGTCGCAGGGCAGTGGGAATGAAGCCGATCCACTGGGGAAGGGCAACAACCGCCACGAACACAGAAGACAGCCACACAACGGCTTCCGGCCCAAAAACAAAGGTGGTGCCAAAAATCAAGAGGCCCCCTTGGGGACGAAGACCCCTGAGGCCCCGGCCCATTCTGAAAAGCCCCGGCGAAGGCAGCACGCTGCAGACACCTCGGAGGCCAGGCCCTTCCGGGGTAGTGTTGGTAGGGTTTCACAGTGCAATCTCTGCCCCACGAGAATAGAAGTTTCCACAGATGCAGCAGTTCTCTCAGTCCCGGCTGTGACATTGGTGGCCTGAGCTAGGATGAAAAAAGAGCAGTTTCACTCAGTTTTGGTTCCCTGCCCGAGGTGCTGACCCAATTCGCTGCCAAAAGAGAATCAATCAGAATATACAAATCCTGTATGGTTGTGTCTCCTCTCTTAATCATTTTTACTAATTCTAATAATCAGCTCTAGCTTGCTTCATAACTTTCATGGCTTTGCTTGATCTGTTGATGCTTTCTCTCATCAAGACTTTGCAGCATTTTAGCCAGGCAGTATTTACTCACTGTTAGGAATATCAAGATGTGGCTGAAGATCAGAGGCTCAGTTAGCAACCTATGTTGTAGCAGTGATGTCAGTCCATTGATTGTCTTTAGAGAGTTAATGTTACAAAAAAGAATTCTTAATAATCAGACAAACATGATCTGCTGCGGACACATGCGCTTTTGTAGAATTTAACATCTGGTGTTTTTCTGGAAATATATATATACATATATTGCTTTATTTGAAACAAATTAAAATATGCTGCATTTGATACCTGGTTAGTTTCTTTTATTGATTGATACCCACCTACTTGTTGAATGTACTTTTTAGTGCTTTCAAAAAAACTTTAGAGACTAGAGGTTGCGGCACAAAGCTCTGAACAATAAATACTGTTTCTCTTGGGACATACTCTTTCAGAGAAAAAAAAAATGCCCTTTCGATTAGGTTACACACAAATAAATGCATATGCACCCTGATCATCTTAGACAGACTATGGGGCAGTTGGGCAGTTGGAAATGTCCATTGCAAGTACCACAAACCTCAGCTGAGCCTAGCTTAAAGAGTAAGAATTTATTGGTTCAGTGAGTGAAACTCCAGTATGTCCAGAGTTTCATTCTTGTCACCCAGACTGGAGTGCAATGGCGCAATCTTAGCTCACTGCAACCTCTGCCTCCTGGGTTCAAGCAATTCTTCTGCCTCAGCCTCCCAAGTAACTGGGATTACAAGCATGCACTACCACGCCTGGCTAATTTTTGTATTATTAGTAGAGACAGGGTTTCACCATGTTGTCCAGGCTTGTCTCAAACTCCTGACCTCAGGTATCTGCCCACCTTGGCCTCCCAAAATGCTGAGATTACAAGCTTGAGCCACCATACCCAGCCAGCTCCCATCTCTTGATTATCTTAGCTCTCCCTTCCTCCTTGGGTTGACATTGCATTCAGAACGGTGGCAAAGGGCCACCACGCTCTTAAGACTCAAGTCTATTCCCCACACTGTCCAGAGAAGATAAGTTATCCTAGTAGCCTCTACATGGAACAAGTGTCTTTCTCAGAAATCCCAGCAAAGGTCTTGCATACCGTTGTTGGTGGGCCTGTCTCTTAAACCAATCATGGAAGGGGGAAGATAAGTGAATGCAATGAACTAATTTACATAGACTAATCAGAGCCCACTCCTGGAGCTGAACCAGATGCAAAAGGGTACTTCTCAGGAAAGGAAAATAGATACTCTGTGGCCCAAACCCCAAATATCCCCAGATCCCCTAACTTTGACTACAGGGCAGTCTAGTCTGGGTGCTGCTTCCATTGCACTCACATGTGTCCTACAGATTTGTTGGCTACTTGCAAGGGCAAATGCTTCTTCTCAGCTCAACGTTAACATTTTTTCTGGCAACCCAGGTTCACTGGTTCTCTTCCACAGAGCAGCCCTGAGCAGCTGAGCCTGCAAGCCACGCAAGCATCTGTTTCTTTTGCCAAGTACAGGAGGATGTTTGCTCTCTCTGTAGAGAGCTTTCTGAGGTCTCTGGGTGTACCCAGAGATTTAATAGGAATTCTAAATGTTAAGTCACATTTCAGGAAGGAAGGAAGGAAGAGTTGTTCATTCAAATAAGAAAGATAAATGTTCAGCACTGTAGGCCCTGTTTACCCCATCTGAGGCCCTGAATTTATGTATCACAAGACAGAAGGATTTTGCACAGGTTTTTATGTAGTAAGATTTTGCTCACCACTGAAAAATGTCAGTATAAATGTGGCCGCTTCAAAGATTAGTCAAGTAGTTCTTGGAACGGGGGAAAAAATGAAGTTGCCAGGTCAGGAGTGCACCTGCATTTGTCAGAGTTGAACCCAACCACTCTTAACCTTGACTCACTCCCTCAGGGTTAAAAAAGCCCAAACACATTCCTGGGCACACAGCAAACACTCCCATGTCACTGAAAAGAAACAAAAGAATGCTAAAAAGTGTTCAGACCTGATTATATTTTTTCCTTTTTTATCTTCTTGAGACAGGATCTTGCTCTATCACCTAGGCTGGATTGCGTGATCATGGCTCACTACAACCTTGAACTCCTGGGCTCAAGCCATCTTCTCACCTCAGCCTCCCAAGTAGCTGGGACTACAGGTTTGCACCACAACATCCCAGATAATTTTGTTAATAGAAATGAGGTCTCACTGTGGTGCCCAGACTGGTCTCAAATGCCTGATCTCAAGCAATCTTCCTGCCTTGGCCTCCCAAAGTGTTAGAATTATAGGCATGTGCCACCTCACCTGGCTGATTTTTGCCTTTGTTATAGATCCTGGGCATGTGAGCATTTATTAATTTGCATTTTTGAAACAGCAATTTCAATAACAGTGTCAGGCCACTTAAACATCATATTACATATCTTCATCTGTCTGGTGGAACTATTGGTGTGATCCTGGAGATCTGAGTCCTATCCTGCCATTCTTTTAAAATGTTTTAAACTCTAATCTGTTTACTTAAAGCACAGTAGTCAGAAAAATAGATTCTTCTCTCTTAAACATTTGCCTAGTAGAAGTTAAAATAGTTTACTATTCGGGAAGATTGAATAACTTCAAACTCACATTGTAGCATATAGATCTTCCACCAAGACTTCATCCTTGAAATCCACCCCTTCCTGTTGGGTTCCCAATTACATTCCAAATTTACATTTCTTTTGAGAATCTCTACATACTCCACTCTGTCCTGGTGATCCTATTCTAGAAGTGCTTACTGCAGCAAGGCACAGAAAGTTAAACACCAATTGCTGCAAAATTCACCCTCAATGGAGGACTAGAAACACAACATGCTCAATTTAAAGCTCAATTCACAAGCAGTTCAATTCTGCTGGCATCAGAAAAAGAGATTCTAATTAAACATTCTTAGGGAAGGACATCAAATGAGGTCAATGGGAAACATTACCAGATTAAAAGTCGTTTTTTGCCAAAGTAACAGATTGGAAATTCTGACTCTCTGAAAGCCTTAATTTGAACCTCAAACTTGATTTCACCATGAGAAGTGGGGATCAAGGGCCTCCGCAGTTCTTTTCCTAGACCAGTTCAGTGCTCCCCAGCCCCACACAGGCACAGGTCCACAACCAGATAGAGAGATGCCTGAATTCCAGGCTACCTTTGACAAAGCTTTCTCCTTCCCTCCTACCCTCCCTTTGCACGCTGCATCCCACACTGCCTGTTTAAAGCGCCCTCCTGTGTCTACAGATGACAAAATGTTTATTTCTCAACAGACATTCCAGTGACAGCATCCAATGACCTATGTAAGTAAGGGCACCCTTTCTTGCCGTACTTGTTTCAGAGGTCCTACCTAAAATTCAGGCATGGGCGGGCTTGGACTCCAGATTGCCCCCAGGTACAGAAAAATGAAGCAAAGGAAAAGAGTCAGTCACTTGTTCTTAAATTTCTTAAGCAAACTATAAAATAGCAAAAGACCCCACCCACATACAAAAAAAAGAGAAAAAAGCAATTCACCTGACTAATACATTGTTCGAGCATTTCCTTGAAAGTACTGAGCTATCTCAATTGCTCTGATTTTGTGAGAAAATTAAGAAGAGTTGCTAAGTCCCGTTGCCTCTCGTTACTTAGCTAAGAATTTGAAGCATAATTTAAATACTATTCTTTACAATCCATTATGAGGATTTTAAAAATCTTTTTTTTTTTTTTTTGAAATGGAGTCTCACTCTGTTGCTCAGCTGGAGTGCAGTGGCACAATCTCAGCTCACTGTAACTTACGCCGCCCGGGTTCATGTGATTTTTCTGCCTCAGCCTCCCAAGTATCTGGGAGGACTACAGGCTCGTGCCATCATGCCCAGATAATTTTTCATATTTTTAGTAGGGATGGGATTCACCGTATTAGCCAGGTTGGTCTCAATCTGACCTCATGATCCACCCACCTTGGCCTCCCAAAGTGCTGGGATTACAGGCGTGAGCCACCGCACCCCGCCTTTTTAGATGAATTCTAACAAAATTTTCTGTTTATTCTTAGTTTCAAAGAACCAGGTCCCCAGTCCTGGGAGGCTGCTCAGCAGAGCCCAATGTTTAATCTCATTATAGCAGCCCTGCAGGCAAAGGCTCTCCAGTCTGAATCCAGTCTTTCTATCTGAAAAACACATAATGCTGCTCTCATCACTCAAGGTTCTTACACATTAGTGGTTAATTATCAGAAGCCCCTTTGTCTGAGAACTCTGTTTTTTCCCACAGCTCAGAGGAGCTGCCACTAAGTTTCAGTTTCATAGGAAGAATTGCCACAAACAACTTTACAGAATAGTAAGTACATTCTGAAGCAAATTTGGCTGAGAAATTATGTAGATTTCTGGCAAAAAAAAAAAAAAAAAACAAACATTATTTCAGAAGAATGACTGTGACAATGGCCAAAGAACTTCTACAGAAAACAGCAATGTAGAAAGTGCTCCCTATCAAAAACAGGTATCTTTTTTTTTTTTTTTTTCTGAGATAGGGTTTTACTCTGTCGCCCAGACTAGAGTGCAGTGGTGTAATCACAGCTCACTGTAGCCTCCACCTGCTGGGCTCAGGCGGTTCTCCAGCCTCAGCCTCCCAAGTAGCTGAGACTAGAGACACATGCTACCATGCTTAAGTTTTGTTCTGTTAGTAGAAATGGGGTTTCGCCATGCTGTCCAGGTTGGTCTTGAACTCCTGAGCTCAGGCAATCTGCCCACCTTGGCCTCCCAAAGTGCTGGGATTACAGGCTTGAACCACCACGCCCAGCCAGCTATCCTGTTTTTAACTTCAGATACTTAGATTTGAACTTGACTGAATTTTTCCTAGTCCTTTGAAAGAACACACTTTCTGTAAATTAGCATCATTGCGTAACAAGCCATCCAGGAACACCATTACTCCTCTGCCAACACCTGACATATGGTAGGTACTCAATAAACACTGATTAGAAGAGAGAGAAGCTATGAATAGGTGACCAACTCCAGTATCTCCAGAAAATTCTGGAGTCTAAATGGCTTGTGCAGAGTAACCCAGTAAAACAATCCTAGAGAAAATACGAGGAGAGAGCAGAGAAGCCGAAGTAACCAACCCTCAAGGCCACCTGTCTGGATTCAAGCCTTGTCTCCACCACTTCCCAGCTGTGTAAACCTGGGCACATTTCTAAACATATCCTTACCTTGGTTTCTCCATGGGTGAATGAGGCAGGTAATTGGAGTTACCTCACAGAGTTGTTATGAGGATTGAATAATGTTTGCAAAGCATTTGGAATAATGCCTGGCACTTTATATGGATTCCAGGCAGGAGACAGTAACCA